CAAGCCCTTCGCAGTTAGAGGGTCACAACAACCCACTATCTATAGCAGAGACATCCCTCTGCACTAGCGTATGTCGCGCCGCCACCTACTATCTGTACTACACCTCTTGTATAGAGGTTACCAACAGTTTATTGTCCGACCAGGGCTCGACTACATTGCAGAGATTATCATACTGCTCGATGACGAGGACCGCCACATCATGCAACGGGACCGTGAGAGTCAGAGGGAGAGGTGGGATTATCTTCTTGGTGGAATGCCTCGTCGGGTTTTCACAGAGACCTTCCGCGTTAACCGTGCTGTTTTCGACTACTTGGTAGAAGCCTGGATCAGTAGGAACAGTGACCGCCAGCGCGTGATACCTGTAGAATCGTGCGTCGCTATGACACTAGTTTATCTAGGCACAGGCGCAACGTTCCGCCAGCTCGGCCTGCAGTTTGGGGTCGTGCCTCAACATGCGCAGAGGATTGTGCAGGGCTTTATGGCGTTCATAGTGGACGATCTACTCCCTCTCTGGGTTTCTCACCCTTCCGCCGAGCAGATGGCGGAGATCGCCGAAGAGTTTCGTTACGAGGGCGGTATTCCAGGCGTCATAGGAGCTCTGGATGGGACGTATATTGAGTGCCGTGGGTTCGGGAGAGACAAGGAGGACTTCAAAAACAGGAAGGGCTTTTACTCCATAATCCTACAGATAGCATGTGACTCTAACGGAATCATCTGGGACTACAATGCGGGATACCCCGGAAGCGTCAACGACTCCCGGGTGTTTACTAACTCCCCACTCAAACAGCGCTTAGAGGCTGGCGAGTTGGGGAACTACATGCTAGTAACGGACGCTGCATACGCTCTCACAAGCTACACTTGTGTGCCTTGGCGAGCTACTCCCGTGCGTGGATCTGCGAGTCGAGGTCGATGAACGTCGCCAGCACCTCGCACTCCTCCTCAGGGGTCCAGCGTGGCGAGTTTCTGGCAGTGGAGTGGCGAGAAGCAGCGGCAGTGGTGGTTCTTGGCATCGTCGGCTGTGCCGCGGGTTCCTCTTCAACCTCTCCCGGCGCGGCGTTGTCATCAAATGCGGCACCTAGTCCGTAGTCATCGTCGGCGTCGTAGGAGGCAGACGGGGAGGGGATTTGGTAAACCCAGTAGTCAGCAGGGGTGACGGTGGGAGTGGTAGAAGGAGCTGTCGGCGTGTTGGAACGATCAGGTATCTGGGACTCTTGTGTTTCGGGCCCAGCTGTGGCAGGAGTGGTCGTATTGGCAGAGGCCGGTGGCGGGGAGTTGGGAGTGGTGTAAACAGACTGGGTGTTCTGCGCGTAGCTAGATGGATCCATTGTGCAGAGTAGTGAGTAGAGTGGGTCAATGTCGTGGCGTCTTGTAGTGTAGTGAGGGTAGTTGTGATTGGTCAATGTCAAATTTTGAATCCGAGTCGCATTTTTCAATGTTTTGGCGAGGCGGTCCGCTGAAATCCAAATTCGCCCGCCAATCACGTGCGCGGACAGGCGGACAGTCCGTTTGTGTTTCGGACCGTCCGTTGTCAAAGTTTCGTGTCGTTGGAAAGTGGAAAAAGTGTCGTGACGGTTCGAATTTGTAGCGACGTCGCACACATCCTCGCGAAGAACTGCACGACATTAAACGAAAATGGTAACCCTTCGCATCGACGTACGGTCCACGGTTCGTTCCGTAGAGTGCAAAATGGTTACACGCCCTAAGGCCCTATAAACAGAAAACGCTTTGCCATGCTGACCTTGGGCTTTAAGTAAGGCGACTCATAATTAGAATGCCGAAGGTAGCCGTTGCTGGAAAACTCGGGCGGACAAATTTGGTCAAACAATTGGTTTGGCGGGAACAGCATTGTATGTAGGCGATTCGAGTTTCTCCAAAGCCTGTGGACTGCACTACAGGTCTTTCTCCCAGTCCCCACCCAACCGCTCCTCACTCCACCTCACCTCTCGATACCAGCATGGAGTCCTTCCCTCCCTCGCATCATTCTCCCGCAGTTGCTTATCCCCAAGTCCCCTTTCAATCGCTCCTCACCTCACATCGCTGCTCCCGTCCTGTTGTTCCTCTCTCCTCCCTTCTATCCCTCTCAATATTCGCGCCCAAAACGTAGAAGAATCTGCACTTGCTATCTCCACACCACCACCGAGGCCTTCATCGCCTCCGCAACGGAGTCGTCTTCGCCTTGTCTAGTTTCTCGTCGCTCAAAGCTCACTTTCGTCTGGAACTCAATTCCATATCGCAAAACCCAACCACCCTCTACTAAGCTACAGCACTGACGACCTCATGCTTATTCAGCTCAGATAACGTTTAATCAGAACTTATAACATGCTTGACGGAGCCTCAATGTCTAGGTTCCTCGTGCAATTCTTCCATAATGTCGGCGCTCTTTCAAGAAACTGACGTTGTCGACGAGTCTGTCGTCAAGATAACATTGGCAGCTGATAGGTAGGCCAGAATACAGTATAACGTATCTACTAGGAGGCCAACCTAGTAGGTATAGTCCTTAGTAAGCTTAACAGTCCGTCCTGCAGCAGGGGTCCGCCATTGCTTCTGAGGGTCAGTATTGGTCCTAATAGAGTGCAATGGCGATCACCGCGATTCCCGCATCACCCGAGCGGTTCGGCTGGTCAGGTCCGAAATCTTCATGCTCGTCTCCCACAGAAGCGGGCAGTAGCCGGCCGCTCCCAGGAGGGAATCCAACTCCACCGTCTAAACTGCCGGAACGGCACCCGTCGCCAATGCGCTTACCGTCTCCCAGACGGTTTCCGTCACCAAGACGGCAGCCGGCATCCCCGACACCGCTTGACAGGGGAGCAAACCGGTCGCTGAAGTTTCCGGCGGTTCCCACGGCACTCATTAAGGACAGCCCGGATAAGGAGCCGAAGGAAGGTTTGGGAAAGGACGCAAGAAGGGACATTCCTGGAAAACGGGAAGGCCGCGTTACTAGTAAAGCACCAACTGTAGCACCCTATACAACACCGGCTCCTATAGCGGCTCCCACTACAGTCATCCATTCTCATACTGTAAAACCGTCCATTGGTATTCCGTCTCCTGCTCTGAAACCGTTTACTGCTATCCCAACTCCTGCACAGAAGCCGTCTACGTCTTGCCCGTCTCCTGCAAGGAAACCGTCTACTTCTATCCCTTCTCCTTCACTGAAACCGTCTACTTCTATCCCTTCTCCTGCACTGAAGCCGTCCACTTCAATTCCGTCTCCTGCACTGAAACCGTCTACTGCTATCCCGCCGCCTGTCCTGAAACCCGCCACGCCGCCATCTTCCCCACCCAGTAGCTTCAAGTCCTTGGGTCCAACGGTGTCCAATTTTTTGGCGGAAGCTACAGATTCAGGAACCGATTCGGCCGGTCAAGCCATGCGAGCGGTGGCTGCTTCATTCGTTCCGGCATTCAGCGCGAAGCTTGCTGATGGAGCGACCGCAACGGCGTCACGAGCAGCGAAGAAGACGAATTCGACGCCCGCGTTTACTCCACCAGAGAGAAGGCGGAGCTCCACACCCACGTTCTCGCGACCGGAGCGGAAAGCGAGTCCCACACCCGTCGTGAGCGCTATCCCCGATCGGAATCGAAAGCAGAGCCCCGTGCCATCCGTGACGGCACGTCCTGTACCACCCGTGACGTCACGTCCTGTACCACCCGTGACGTCACGTCCTGAGCGAAACGGCCTTCCTTCTGTCGAGCTGCAGCGGGAGGAGCGGACGGAGCGGCCGACGCTGAGCTGGCAGGGCCGCAGTCAAGGCGTGAAAGTCACAGCAGGTTTGGAAAAGCTCGCAGGATCACGAGATAGTGCTCGTGGGGCTAGCGGCGAGGGTGAGAATAACGGTGGTGGTAGTAATGTTAGCTGCGGAAGCAGTGACAGTATCGGTGGTAGTGGCGTCAGAATACGTGGTGAGAAGAATGGTGGTGGTGGGGCCAGTGGAAGCAGTGACTTTAGTGGTGGTAGTGGTGGGGTCAGCGGAGGCAGTGACAATAGCGGTGGTAGTGGAACCAGCAGATGCAGTGGAAAGGCGAGCGTGGTGGGAGTCGAGACGAAGAATCGCAATCCTACGTGGGCTGAAGAGGCCGAGGGGAAAGATACGGGGATAGCGGTGAAAGCTTCGAGTGGTGGAGATGGGTGGAAGGAAGGAGGGGCGAGGCGAGGTGGGGCAGCATCCGCGGAAGAAACTGGTCAGGGAGGCACGTCGATTAGAAGGACTTCTTCAGGGGGCACAGGCGGGTGGGTTGACAGGATGACTGTAACGAAGGGGCCTAACGAGAGAACTGGATTTGGTGAGACAGGACTGCCACGGATCACAGTGGGAAATGCTGCAGTGCCTGGAGGGGAAGCAGCAGGAGAAGGACCAACGGGAAAGTCGGCAGAAGCAATGAGGCAAGGGGTGTCAGTAACGACCGGAAAGCTTGGGCCAATAGCCCCCACGGTCGTCGCACCCGCAGCACCCGCAGCACCAGCAGCACCAGCACCACCTGCAGCACCCGCAGCACCAGCAGCACCAGCACCATTAGCAGCAGCAAGTTTAATAGCATCAGCCGCCGCAGCAGCAGGAGCAGCACCGCCACCACCATCAACAGCAGCAACCGCAGCAGGAGGGGCAACAGCAGCTGCTGCAAACCTAACATCGGTGATAGGGTCCGCAGTGGCTGGATCATTGCTTGCAATCAGGCCAGTGAAGTTTGCTGCTGCTGCAGCAACAGCAAAAAGGGACGACGAAACAACCGCTACAGCCGTAGTGCCGACGGGGGAGGCGGCAAGACTGATAGCTGGAGCACCAGTGGGTGCGGCAGTAGCCGAAGCAGCAGCAGCGCCATCAGCAAAAGCGGCAGTGATTCCATCAGCAGACTCTGCAACAGCTGCAACGAGTGCAAGTGGACGGGCAACAGTAGAGGTGGAAGCAGACACAGTGTCAACGTCAGCAGCAGCAGGAGGGACAGCAGCAGCGGTGGGGTCGGCAGTGACTGTGGCAGTGAACGTGCGCCCTATGGTGCCGCACGAAATGGCTGCTAGATGCGTGGAGTGCATCAAGGTCCCGCCTGGAGGCAAACCAGAGGTGCGGGATCGAATCCTGCTGCCAGCGTTAATTGTCTCCTTGTCCTCCACGCTTGTTCTCCCCCCTGCTCTTACTCCCCCACGTGCTCCTTATGCGTCCCTGCCCCTTCATGCCTCCCACCCCCGTTCCTGCCTTCCTCCCACTCTCTTGCCTCCCCTCTTACTATGCCATTCCCCTCTCCAGACTGGGTGTTCACATAGGACTATGTGTACGGAGGGACAGAAGGGCAGTGTCACATTCTATCCGTCATGCATCCGCCCCCCATCTCCCCCACCAGGTGCATGTCTCGCCAGACTGGGTGTTCACATACGACTATGTGTACGGAGGGACGGGCCCGCCCATGTCGCAGCTCTTTGCCGACTGCATCATGCCCCTCGTGCACGGGCTATTTGATGGTTACAACGCCACCGTTTTTGCATACGGGCAGGTGAGCCAGTGTGACTGGTGCATGCGAGAGAGTGCAATTGATGGAAACAAGGATACGGTCTTCACATACGGGTCCGCCCATGTCGCAGCTCTTTGCCGACTGCATCATGCCCCTTGTGCGCGGGCTCTTTGATGGCTACAACGCTTCTGTGTTCGCGTGTGGACAGGTGAGAAAGATAGTGCCTGTTGGTTACAAAGCTGCGGTTTCCGCGTACGGGCAGGCGAGAGGTATGTAACGCTACACCTGTTGGGGGTTAAAACGCTCACACCACACTACGTAGCCCGTGCATGGGCAGAACTCTGCACTTTCGCACACGGCTACTGCTTGTGCTGCTGCTCTGCTGATGGCACCATCACACACCCCCGCTTCCATAGCAGATGATCATGACGGCTTTGAAGCGTTACTGCTGCTAGTAGAACCGTTTTCTCTCCCCATCTTTCTCCCTTGTCTCCCTCCTCAAAGTGCAGACCGGGTCAGGCAAGACGTACACCATGGCCACGGCTCTCCAGAGCACGGCTGCTGCTCGAAGTGAGAAGAATGATTTCCAATCAATGACTCCTGCTAATGAAACCATCCCCTCTCTCATTGCTTTCCCATCCATCCATTGTGAGCGTGCAGACCGGGTCAGGCAAGACGTACACCATGGGCACAGCTCTTCAGAGCACGGCTGCTGCTGCTGAGACAGACAGCAGCGGTGCAGCTACCAGCACCAGTGGTGGTGGTGCCAGCACTGGCAAGGACGAGAGTCTGAATAGCAGCGACAGTATGAGTGGCAGCCCCAACAAGTTCAATAGCAGCACTGGGAGCAGTGGGAGCAGTGGCAGCGGCAGCGGTGAGAGGAGGGAGGGGAGGAGCACCACAAGTGGCAGTGCATTGGGGGCTGTGAGTCCAGCGTCGGTGGAGAAGGAAGGAGGGGTGGCGAGGCGGGTGGTGAACTCCCTCTTCCAACATGTAGAGGACCTCGCCCACTGCTCTCGCTTCCAGATCCGAGTCTCTCTCATAGAGGTGCGTGGGGTGCGTGGGGTCAGAGGGGCCATCAGGGATCAGTGGGTTTTTTTAGTCAACTCAAAGAGGGGCTGAGAGTCCAGCGTCGGTGGAGAAGGGAGGGGGCGTGGCGAGGCGGGAGGTCAAATCTCTCTTCCAGCGTGTAGAAGATCTCGCCCACTACGGCTCAGTGGGGTCAGTGGCTGGGGCCAGAGACGAACAAAGCTCTGATACTGTTTGACTCACATTGATATACACGACCTTCTAGAGTTCCTCGCCGCTCCCTTCCCCACCTCCTCCCCTCCCTCCATGTTTTAAGTCGACTCAAAACACTACTCATGTTTCCCCCTCCCACTCAGATCCACAAGGACGATATACACGACCTTCTAGAGTTCCTCGCTGCTCCCTTCCCCACCTCCACCCCCTCCTCCGCCTCGCCCGCCACCGTCGCTGCCCTTGCTGCTGCCGCTGCTGCGGCCCGAGCCTCCCCTTCAGGACCGGCGCCCCTAGGCCCGGCGCCGCCGCCTCGGCAGACTGTGGCGATCCGGGAGCTGCCGGGAGGGGTGTCCCTCACAGGGGTTACAGAGCAGGTGGTTACCACACGGGACGAGGCTATAGCGTGCTTGGAGCATGGGCTGCTGTTCCGGGCGACAGGCAGTCACAACCTGAACCAGCGGTCCAGGTGGGTCTGTGTAGGGTTTATGTGCAGACGGGATGGTAGTGGATTCCCACTTCTTTCTAAGTCTTCCCATTATCAGCATTCCTCCTTCTCACCAGTCGTACCGTCATATTCGATTCTTCCTAAGGAGGAGTACCTGCTTCTTCTCCTCTCCCTTTCCCATCCCCCCCTCTTTCCCTCACTTTCTTCTCGGCCTTCCCCTTTTCTTTAACCCACTCACCTTGTTCCCACCAGTCGTTCCCACGTCTTTACAATATTCGTGGACCAGTTCAGGCGAGGGCAGTCCCGCTGGACCCACATCTCCCCATCACCCCCTTCCCCCCTTTCTCTCTCCCTTTCTTCTCGTCCTTTCCCTTCTTCCCACCAGTCGTTCCCACGCCATATTCACAATATTCGTGGATCAGTTCAGGCGACGAGCAGTCCCACTGGATCCCACCTCTCGTCTCTCCACCAGCATGACAACCGCCACGAGTACTTACCTAAGCGCCAGCACCAGTGGCACTTCCAGCAGCAGTGGGAGAGCTTCGCTTGAAAGCGGAGATGGGGCGGGGAAAGCCGATGGGATGGCGCTGTTCGGGCAGGACGAAAATGCTTTGTTTGGGGTCGGGCGGATGGATGAGGAGCATCTGTGTGCGAAAATGCATCTGGTGGACTTGGCGGGCAGCGAACGAATCAAACGCACCAAGGCAGAGGGTGCTCGGCTGAAGGAAGGTGAGAGAGTGAGCAGGGGAAGTGTTGCAATGTGAGAGAAGAGGTGGGGTTGATGAAGCAATAGAGTGCATTTGGGATGGAGGGTGGCGGGCAGCGAATGGATCAAATGCACCAAGGCAGAGGGCGCTTGGCTGAAAGAAGGTGAGAGTGGACGGAGAGAGAGGAGGTATTGCAATGTGAGAAGAAGACGAGGATGCGATCTGAGAGAGCAATGTGGGAGAGAAGTTTGGTTTGAACAGGCAGGCAGGCAATGTGGTGCAATGTGTATGCGGTGGACCTGGCAGGCAGCGCACGACTCAGACACACCAAGTTAGAGGGTGTTTAGCTGAAGTGAGCTTGGATGCTCTGTAATGATTCGCATGAATGAGGGTCTCGTGGTGTTGGGGAAACATGATCTGTGCGCTCAGCAGAGATTCCTTTTTTGTTGACTCATAGATTGATACTCTACCCCCACCTCCACCACCCTCCCCCTGCAGGCATTCACATCAACAGGGGTCTCCTGGCCTTAGGCAACGTGATCAGTGCGCTCAGCAGCGATGAGAAGAGGAGGAAGGATGCAGGGGGGGGAGGAGGTGCAGGGTTTACAGCAGCGTTGATCCCGGTGCACGTTCCGTATCGAGATAGCAAGCTGACGCGGCTGCTGCAGGTGTGAAGGGTGTTCAAGCCGTGACTGAGTGTTGTGCTTGTGTGTTGCTTGCTACACAAACTGAAAATGCTTTCTTGTGTGCTAGAAACATAAATTCCTTCTTTTGCTGCGAACCTTCTCGCCATCCGAACGCGATCTTATCATCCCTATGCCCGTTTCAGCTCTAATCCCACTATTCTGGTGACTTCCGGGTCAACTCAAAGCCACTCTGGAACAAGGTTCAACCATCCTTTAAACTGCTCTTAACTTCATCCCACTCTTCTCTATGTGCGACTGTCCTTCCACCCTACGTTTCAGGACTCCCTCGGAGGCAACAGTCGCACTGTCATGATAGGTAAGCTGTGCTGTCTGCTAGGTCTGAGGCGCCACAGATCTAGATGCACACTGATTCTTAGGTGCCTCAGACGAATTCTGCCACACCGGTTTTATAGTTATGGAGTGCTGAATGAGACGGGTGCCTCAAAAGCCACACTGTTTTTTAAGTCACAGTCAAAAGTACGGATAGCTGAATGAGATGGAGATTTATGGGCTAGGAACGTCTTACCCTTTCCTTTTCTTCCATCATTCTCCTCGCCATTTTCCGCTTGCTGCGTCTCCCCTTCCCTCCATTTCTTCGCAGCCTGTGTGAGCCCCACGAATTCAAACGTAGAGGAGAGTCTCAACACCCTTCTCTATGCCAACCAGGCTGCTAACATCTGCAACCGACCCACCGTGAACCGACTGGGCATGGTGGCTTGCCTGTTGAGACTGACACCTTCCCTCCTTTCGCCTTTCTCCTTTGTTTTTCCCACTTGTCTTCGCAGCCTGCGTGAGCCCCACGGATTCAAACGTAGAGGAGAGTCTCAACACCCTTCGCTATGCCAACCGTGCGCGCAACATCTGCAACCGACCCACGGTGAACCGGCTGGGCACGGTGGATGCAGAGGAGGTGCGGCGGCTGAGGCACCACGTTTCGCTGCTGCAGGCTGAACTAGCTAGAGTGCCGCCCCCTCTGCCCATCACAGCAGAGGAGTTGCAGGTGGGTTGTGAGAGGGGCCTAAGCTGTCAAGTTGCAGAGAGGACAGGTGGGCTGAGAGGACAGGTGGGCTGCGGAGTTGCAGGTGGGTTGTGAGAGGGGCCTAGAGTCACGGCAAGAATATGAGGCGGGTGGGGCTTATTGGCAAGGTAGCTGTAAGTCGTTTGTTTAAGCAGCAAGGTTGCATGTGCCATTGGCCCACAGTGAACCAGCTGGGCACGGTGGATGCGGAGGAGGTGCGGCGACTGAGGCAGCACGTGTCGCTGCTGCAGGCAGAACAGACTTTTGAGTCGACTCAAAAGTCGCCTGCTGTAAACCGGCTGGGTGGGCACGGTGCATGCAGAGGAGGTGCTGCAGGCAGAACTGGCTAGGGCGCCGCCCCCCGCTGCCAGTCACAGCAGAGGAACTTCAGGTTTGTAGTGAGTGGAATGTAGGCTCTTCCTTTTCCAGGTGAAGCTGGCTAGAGTGCCGCCCCCCCCTGCCCATCACAGCAGAGGAACTGCAGGTGGGTTTCAATGCGGCCACAAAGCCACAGGAAGAACATTGGGTGGGAGTCTCTACGAAGGTAACGGGGTTTATCACCCCAGCTGCCCATCACAGCAGAAGAACTGCAGGTAGCTTGTGGGCGGGCGGGTCTGGCTACAGTGCTGCCCCGATTGCCCATCACAATAGAAGAGCTGCAGGTGCAAATCCCAAGTATAGGAATTCCGGGACGGCTATCTTGTTTTCCCCCTTTTTTTCTCTCATTCTCCTCCTCTTCCTCATTTTTCCCTCTTCACTCCTCCCAGTCCCTGGAACAGAATCTGGCATCTCTCGAGGAGGCCAACACGCAGTTAAAGGCGTCACTAGAAAGCACCCAGTTAGACCTGCAGTCGACCCAGCAGGCCCTTGACGCAACAAAGCTATCCTTGGAATCCGAGAGGCAACGGGCGGATGAAAGCGAGGCGGCGTGCGCTGCTCTGCGTGCTGACTGTGCGGCGCTGCGCGCTGACCTGGACAGCGCCACGTCGGAGATCGCGCGGCTGAGCGCTGAGCTGGCAGCGGCAAAGGAGGAGTCAGCAAAAGCAAAGGAGCAAGTGAATGCTTTGAGAAAGTCCCATGAGAAAACCGGCCGTGGGTATGGAGCTGGTGGCGCTGCTGCTGGTGCTGGTGCTGGTGCTGGTGCTGGGGCTGGTGCTGGTGCTGGTGCTGGTAGCTTTGGCAGCAGTGGTGTTAGAAGGCAGTCGGGCGGAGGTGGGGGAACAGCAGCCTTTGGAGCGGCACGAACGGACGAGATCAAGCGAGTGAAGAGAGAGGCAGATAGGGCCGTGGCTGAGGCGACTAAGAGGGCAGAGAGGGAGAGTAAGAAGGCGGAAGAGGCTATTGCTCGAGCTAGGAAGGCTTTGGAGAGAGCAGTAGAGGCAGAGAAGCGAGCACCTGAGGCAGAGAGACGGGCGGCAGAAGCAGAGAGGAGAGTAGCGGAAGCTGAGAAGAAAGCAGCAGGGGCAGAGAGACGGGCAGCAGAGGCGGAGGAGAAAAGGGAGAGCGAGATGCGACGGGCAGATGGTAGTGTTGAGCGCTTGGGTTTGGCAGAGGTTCGGACTGCTGAGGCTGAGGCGGAGATTCGGGCGCTTCGCTCGGAGCTAGCCTCGGCGGCTGCTGAGGCAATGGCGGCTGCTGTGGCCCGGCAAGCCTCGGAGCAGGAGCAGGTGAGGGTGGTTCGGATGCAGATTGCCGAGGCTGAGCAGGAGGCTCGGACGAGTATTGCAGAGATGGAAAAGAGGTTCGGGAAGGAGCGGGAAGAGTATGAGAGGCGGATTGAAGCTGAGAGGCAGCAGTGGGAGAAGGAGAAGAGCTCGTGGGAGGAGGAAGGGAGGGCGAGGGATAGACGGGTGGCGCATGAACGTTATAGCTGGAATCAAGAGTTGACAGCAGAAGTGGAAAAACGGGAGAGGAACTGGGCAGGGGAACGGGAGATGTGGGAGAGGAGTCTTAGAGAGGAAGGGGAGGTTTGGGAAGGAAGGCTGAAAGAGGTACGGGACGCATGGGAAGCAAAACTAAAAGAGGAAGCGGAGGCATGGGAGAAAAAGCTCGCAGCAGCTGAAGAGAAAGCAGAGAAAGCAGCAGGGGTTGCGGAGAGAATCAGGGCGGAGGTTGAAAGGGCGGAGGAGCAGGCAGTGGCAGGCATGCTGCAGGAAAAGAGGCTTGCAGAAGAGAGAGCTTTTGCTGCTGAACGGGCCTTGGCAGGGGAGAAAGCGATGCTGGAAAGGAGAATGGCGGATCTGAGGGCTGAGGTGAGAAAGGCAGCAAAGGAGGAAGAGGCGGAGTGGCTGGGGTTGGTGACTTCTGAAGCTGAGCGGTTGAGTGAGGAGTGTAATGCGTTGAAGGGCGAGTGTGGGGAGTTGAGGAGGGAGTGTGAGGGGTTGAGGAGGAAGGAGAGGGAGGAGAGGGAGAGGAGGGAGCGGGAGGAGGCGAGGGCTGTGAGAGCCGAGGCTGCTGCTGCCGAAGCTGAGGCTCGCGTGGCTCGGGAGGTGGAGAGCGTGCAAGAGCAGGCTCGGGAAAAGGCTCGGAAAGAGGCAGAGAAAATGGAGAGTGAGTTAGCGGAGGTTTGGGCGCAAGCAGAGGTGGAAGCAAAGAAGGCAGAAGATGCAACGGAGAGGGTGAAAGAAGCAGAGGAGCAGGTGGTTATACTGAAGGTAAAGATTGAAGGGTTAAGGGAAGAGTTGAACGAGCTTGAAGCTGTTCTAAAGGAGGAGGAACAGAAGGCGGAGGAAGCAGAGAAGCTGCTGGTTCGGGCCCGAGCCAAGCTTGCCGAAGCTGAGGCTCGGGCCGAAGCTGCTGAGGGCAGAGTGGAGGAGTTAGACGGGGAGGTGGAGAGGGCGAGAGAAGCAGAAGAGGTGGTTCGGATGGAGTGTGAAGCTTTGAGAGAGTGTGTGCGAGCGGCAGGGGAGAGAGTAGAGGTAGTGACTGAGAGCGTGAGGAGGAGTGAGAGAGCTGCGGAGGAAGCAGAGGAGAGGGCGAGAGGAGCAAAGGAGGAGCAGAGGAAGGCAGAGGGGAAAGCGAGTGAGGCGTTGGCAGCAGTGGATGAGGCAGAAGAGAGGGCGAGAGTTGCTGTGAGGGAGAGGGAGGAGGCGGAGAAGAGAGCAGAGGAGGCGAGGGGGAGGGCTGCAGAGGCTGAGAGGAAGGCTGCTGCTGCTGGAGCAGCGCTAGTGGAAGCCGAGGAACGGATGAGGGATATGGGAAGGAAGGAGGAGGAGACGGAGGAGGAGGAGGGGGAGGGGGAGATGCGGGGGAAACGGGAGGAGAGAGGGGGAAAAGCGGAAGAGAAGCTGGGACTGAGGAGATCATGGAAGGGAGGGGAGGTGGAGGAGGTGGTGGTGGCTTTGGTGTGTGAGATGCTAGATGATGCGATGTTGAGGGTGAATAATGCACAGGAGAATGAGCAACAGTCTGGGGGAGAGAAGCAGCAGGGGGGTGCTTGTTTGCGTGCGGTGGTGTGTGAGGCCCAGGATGAACCGCAGGATGAACCGCAAAACGAGCTCCAGAATAATCCGCAGGGTGAACCACGGACTGAACTTCGGAATGAAACGCAGGATGAACCAGCGCAGATTGGACTTCAGAATGGGGTGCCAGCAGGGAGCGTGTGGCTGAATAGGCAGGGGGAGGTAGAGGCGATGGTGGTGGGCCTAGTGGGACAGGTTTTAGATAGCACAATGCTGATTCTGCAGGCTGAGGATCAGGCTCGGGAACAGGCTCGGGAGCAGGCTCGGGAACAGGTCTGGGAACAGGTTTGGGAACAGGCTTGGAAGCAGGCTCGGTATCAGTCGCAGGTGCAGCTTTTCAGGGCAGAGGAGAAGGCAACTGAGGCAGCGGAGCAGGTTCGGGGACTGGAGCAGCAGCTGATCAAAGCAGAGGAGCAGGTTCGGCAGACTGAGGGGGAGATTGTAGCGCTCAAGGCTGAGCTGGCGAGTAAGGTGGCTGAGCTGGATGCTAAGGTTGCTGAGCTGGCAAGGGCTGTGGAGGAGAAGGAGAGAGGGAGAGGTGAGGTGGAGGCAATGAGAATTGGACTAGAGGACTTGCGGGGGAGGCTGCGAGTGAGGGAGGAGGAGAAGGGCCATGCGGAGGAGCATTTAGAATGGCTTATGAAGGAGCTGGCAGAAGAGATGGCGGAGAGAGAGGGTGAGAGAAGGGTAGTGAATGCGATAAGAGAGGAGGTTAGGAGATTGCGAGGGAAGGTGCGGGAAGGTGAAGAGGCAAGGAGGCAGGCGGAGGGGCGTGTGGAGAGGCTTATGAGAGAATTGGCTGAAGCAGTGGAGGAGAGGGAGAGGGGGAGAGGGGAGGTGAATGCGGTACGAGAGGAGGTGAAGGGGTTGAGAGGGATGTTGAGGGATGGGGAGGAGGAGAGGAGGCAATTGGAGGAGCATGTGGAATGGTTGATGAAAGAGTTGGCTGAGGTGGTGGTTGAAAAGGAGAGGGGTGAGAGGGAGAGGCGAGAAGAGGAGGTGGAACGGGGTGAGAAGGAGGAAAAGAAAGCAGAGGCAGAGACAGATATAACAGAGGGAGACACTGGGTCAGGGGAAGAGGATGGGATCTCAGCACAAGCAGAAGTGGAAAGAGAAGAAGACCGCATAGTAGAAGCAGGAAACGGGGGAGAGGCAGGCCCAGACGGGGGAGAGGCAGGCCCAGACGGGGGAGAGGCAGGCCCAGACGGGGGAGAGGCAGGCCCAGACGGGGGAGAGGCAGGCCCAGACGGGGGAGAGGCAGGCCCAGACGGGGGAGAGGCAGGCCCAGAAACCGGGGCAGGGGCAGGAGAAGGGATGGGTGAAGAAGCAACATTGGAGGCGTGTGTAAAGTGGTGTGTGGAAGTGGGTGAGGAGGCATGTGAGGAGGGGGGGGAGGAGGCGGGTGAGGAGGTGATCTCTACCTTGCAATCTCAAGGCCCCGTTGCAACTCCTGTCAAGAACCAAGGAGAAGAATCTCCTTTCGTAACTCCCACCGCCTCCCCCACTGCCTCACCCTCTCCCTCTCCCTCCACTCGCCCTCTATCGCTGCACCTGACCACTTCGCCTGCTTGCCCAGTAATAAACGCTGGTGATGTCATTCCCGCCTGCCCCCTGCCTGAAACAGCCAGTGGCGATGACAACACCACCACTGCTTCCCCCCTACCTGCAACATCGTGCATGGACCAGCCATGGAATCCGTTTTTCACTGGCCTACCTGACGCCCCAACTGATGCCTCGCCTGATACCCCACTTGCTGCTGCCATCGACGTGGTTACAGCAGCACCAGCAGCAGCAAGCCTGGGGTTCTCTCCCTACAATCCTTTCCTGGATAGTATCGAGGAGCCCTTACAGCAGGAACACAGTTACAGTACTGAAGAACCCTTATTGAAACAAGGGCCCATTCAGCCAGAAGAGATGACCTTTGAGTGGCCCGAAAAGCCATTCCTGCCTAGCTTGAAAGAACCCGTGTTTTCATTCATCCCAGTTTGGGAACCCAATGGTGATCCAGAGGACTTGGTTCAGGAAGCCTTACAGGGAAGCGAGGGCAGTACTGAGATGCCCAAGCAGTCTCTGACCGCTGACCGTGACCATGGCAGCAGGTGCATTCCTCGTTCCAACAGCAACCCTTTCCTGTGCTCTTGGGCGGAGCTTGAAGGGGAGGGGGGGGAGACCTGTGGAGAGGAGGGGATTAGTGCGCAGGAGGAGGGAGGAAGTGGCGAAAAGGGGTTCACTCTTAGCAGCAGTAGTTCCGCTGTCACCACTGTTGGGAGCAAGGCTGGTAGCTCAACGGCAGGAGTGACTGCTGGCACCACTTCTAGTGCCACTGGTGCTAGCACCACTGCTGGCACCACCACTGTTACCACTACTACTGCTAGCTCCACTGCCGGCACCGCAAGTGCTTGCAGCAAGACTGGAGGCTTCGTGCGTCTCCCAAGCTCCCCACGCCTCTCCTCCTCTCGGGCCCCTCCTGCCCTCGCTGCTCGCTCCATTCTCTCCCACACCAAGCCCCTCCCTCTCTCGCACTTTCCTGCTGCTGCTGACCCGCTGATTGCGGCAGCTGTGGCAGCCGCTGCTGCCTCTGCTGCCGGTGCTGGTGCCGGTGCCGCTCGTGCTGCTACTTCTGCTGCTGAATTCGATGGGAACGAAGAGATGGCGGCGGCAGCAGCACAGAGAGGAGCACAGACAGCAGCACCATCAGCACAGGCAGTAGTAGCACAGGCAGAAGCACAGGCAGCAGCACAGGCAGCAGCAGGGGGATCAGCACAGGAAGCAGAAGTGGTGCTCCCAGCTTCGATGGTTTCAGCCGCTAAGATTGCTGGCCTTGGGGGTGCGTTTGTATCGTCAGGAGGAGTGGGAGCACTGGGAGAAATGGGTGGAGTAGGAAGGGTGGGTAACGCAGGGATTTCCCTTGGGGCGTGCTCTGTTTTAAGTGCTGGTATCGGCGTAAACACCAATCAGCAATCACGGGGTCACATGGGAATGGGAAATATGAGAGGTGCTTATGTGAGTGGGCAGATTGAGGAGGTGGTGGAGCTGGTGGAGGAAGAGGAGGGGACTGAGGAGGGTGAGGAAGAGGAGGTCGAGGAGGAAGAGGAGGTCGAGGAGGTAGAGGAGATAGAGGAGGTAGATGAGGTGGAGGAGGAGGAGGAGGAGGAAGAGGAGGGAGAGGAAGAGGAAGAGGAGGAGGAAGAGGAAGAGGAGGAAGAAGAGGACGAGGAGGAGGTGGGAGAGGAGGAAGAGGAGGAAGAAAGGGAATCAAGGGGTGAGGCCACAGAAAAAGGGACCAAGTTTGAAAATAAATGCGATATGAACACCGGCAGTACCAACAACAGCAGTAGCAGCAGCAGTCGGGGAAGAATGGCTCCTGGAGCAGTGGCATCGGCAGCAGCGATGCTGTCCCGCCTGCGAGGGTCTGTTAAGATGGGGCAGAGCTTCAGACGCCGCCAGATCTTGCCATCCAAACCTAAAGCAGCACTGACAGAGGGAGAAGCAATTGTTGCAGAAGGAGAAGGGTGGGCAGGAGAATGGGGTACAGCGGCGGTGGTTTCAGGGAGCAGCAGTGGGGAGGGCAGTGGTGAAAGAGGAGAGGACGTAGAGGCAGCTAACCAGGGGACAGGACACTTGGATGAGGGTGGTGTGAGCGCTTGGGGGCAAGGCAGCAGTGGTGAGGACGGGGGGGGTAACGGTCACACAATGTTTGAGCCGTTTAGTGACCTGCATGCACCACCGGCCTTCCCAGACCACCTGGACTTGAACACAGGGATGGAGGAGGCTGGCGCTGAAGATTCCCACAGCAGGCGTCGCAGCATTGTCAGCAGCCTCCTCATGCGGAAGAGTGGTGGTGGAGGAGGGGGGGGAGGGCATGGCACACACCATGACTTTCGGAAGAGCGGGGAGATCTACAGTGCACAGCATGTTATAAGCAGTTTCGGTGGAGGGAAGAGTGGCGAGCTCTACCAGAGAAGCAGCAGCCACAGTAGTCACAGCAGCCACGGTAGCAGCAGCAACGGTGGGTCCGGTGGTGCAGAGAAGAAGGGTTCTTCCTCGCCTTTTATGGGAGGCCGCTTGGTTCGTAGCAACAGCTTTGGAAGCTTTCCCTTAGGTGGTGGTAGCAGTGGCAGCAAGAATGGTAATGGCACGAGCAGCAAGGTTACTGCCACGGAGGATAGTGAGATGGGGAGTGTGAGTAACAGTGGAGCCAAGAAGACCCTTGGATCTCCCTTTTTAGGAGCGTCTCTCAGTTTCAAGACGGGCAGCAGCCAAAAGAGCAGCGGCGGAGGCAGCAGCAGCTATGGTGGCAAGGGCAGCAGCAGTAGAGGATTGGGATCGCCTAGAATATGGAGCTCTCCTGTGCTAGGACCCCGAAGGCACGATGCCAGGGGTGCTTCTGGAGGCTTGGAGTCAGGGGCCATGGCTGGTGCGGAGGAGTTTAGTGCATGGATTGACACGAAGACTGATGCCGAAGACGGTGCATGCGAGTTAGGAGAAGCAGGACGAGCAGGGAGAAAGAAGGGATTCAGCCTGAAGAGTGTTCTTTCGTCGAAGACGTCCATGAGTTACACGAGCTGACATAAACGTTACTCTTTGGATCATACTAGTTTGCACTATGATATACTCCTGGTATCGGTGGATTGGCTTAATTCAGTGTTGGAAAGGCCTAGTAGAGTGTACGTAGCAACCGCATCTAGAGTAGCATAGACGGAATGAGGCTTATAGGAATCAGTGACTTTTAGCTCACATAGTGACTACGGTAGTTTTAACAGCACATAAACAGTATGTAATTACCTAATTTACGTTAATTTATCATAGGGTATGTTTGCATAACTTTGAAGTACCGGACTAACAAATCGACGTAAATGATCGTGTATATGCTGATAGTCGTAGAAGTGCCCATTGACTTGCACTAAGGTACATTAAATAATAGATTTAAAATATAACTGTGTTGACTACATCTGTTACGGGTGCAATGAATCGAGGTAGCTAGGATTGCACTTAGTGTCAAACGAGTACAAAATATGAGCGAAGGCATGAGCGAACATTTATACGCGAAACATGCAAACGCTAACGCGGTGCGTGCGAGCTAGCTAGTGCTACGTTGGCAGTGAGGTTCGGGCTAGTCCCGAAGTGTAGGCCGACACGGCCGGGCCAGCAGTGCGAGGTTTGGTGAAACAGTGCGCGCGAAGTTGGCGAAGCCCTGTTTGGCCAAACAACGGCTGCTGCTGTACGCAATGTTGTAGGATGCGCTAAGGAATGTCGATAAAAATTCTTACACTACCCCCCCCCCCCCCCCCCCCCTCAAGAAGCCCCCTCCGCTATGCGAGTGCGTGTATGTCGCAAAAATCCCGACTCCTCATGTACACTTGCAGGGCAGGGTGGTTTTTTATGCTGGTCAGGGGCACCCAGCTGTCCTCCGTTGGCGTGCGGTCCTTCCAGCGAAGGAGGAATTCAATCCTCCTGATTCCCGTTGGGTGTCGAATCCGATGGCTCAGGAATTTTTCGGGCTTGATAATCGGCTCCGATGCAGGGCGAGTCATGGATGGCGGGCGGTGACGAGGCATTTGGCTCGTGTTTGGGATGTATGGGCGAAGCAGGCTGACGTGGAATAATGGGCTGGTGTACCAGTCTGTCGGCAACAGCAAATGGGCGATGACTAGGGTGATCAAGCGTAGTCGTAATTTTGGTACGACGGGCAGTCTCAAGTTTTGTGTGTCGAGCAGTACATAGTCTCCCGACTTGTACGTCACAGGGTAGCGATGGCGGTCAGCGTTGCGCTTAGCGATGATATTTGCCTTTTAATTGCTTCGGCGGCTCTGGTGCGGGCAGCTTGCCGAATCTCGGCGAATTGTTGTGCACGTGGCGTGGGGTTGTCCGGACTTGGCGTCATGGGCACTATTGGGTTTTGCCCGTAGTTCAGGTAGAATGGGGACTGTTGCGTCGTCACTGACGTGGCATTGTTGTACGCAAACTCGATCAGCGGCAAGTGCTGCTCTCAAGTTGTCGGGCCGTCGCACGTGGCACGAATCAACTCCTCCATCGTCTGATTCGTCCGCTCCGTTTGACCGTCGGTCTCGGGGTGGTACAACGAGCTGAATTGTAGCCTGGTCCCGAACTGCTCCCAAAGGTTCTTCCAGAAGTTGCTGGTGAACTTCGTGTCGCGGTCGGTGATTATCGCGGCTAGTATCCCATGTAGTCGAACGACGGTTGCGATGAATAGGCGAGCGGTTTCTTCATATGAGATCGATTTCTTGCACGTAGCGAAGTTTGCCATCTCCGTCAACCTGTCAACGACGACCATAACTGCGTCGTTACCCCCAGGGTTCGAAGGTTACCCCATGACGAAATCCATGGTAACCTGCTGCTAGTCGCCCTCAGGCGGTGGAATCGGCTGCAATTGACCTGCCTTTTTTTTTCGCGAGCTCTTCATCACCTGACATGTAGGACACGAGCCCACGTGGTGCTGTACGTCGGTCAATAGCTCCGACCAGTAGTAATACCGATGAAGTTGCTGTCGCGTTTTTTCTACCCCAAAATGTCCCGAGGTAATTCTGTCGTGTGCCTCCTACAGTAACAATTCCCTCAGTAGTGAGTACGCGGGTACCCAGATACGGCTGGTGCCCATTTTTACGTAATTGGGTCGGTTGTGTGAATTTCCAGTTGTGAAAAATGGGTCGGTGCTGTATCCGTCGGTGAATAGGTCTGTTAGCAGTGGGTTGGTTTGGGCGAGTGGGATGGCGTGGAGTTGGGCAGTGGGGCGTGTAAGTGCGTCGGCGATGTTGGATGCGCCTTTTTTGTACGTGAGCGTGTAGAGGAAATTGGACTCCAGATAGTCCAACCAGCGGATCTGTCGCGGATTGAGATTCGGTTGGGCGCGAAGGTACTGTAGTGATCAGTGGTCTGTCCGTACTGTTACGTCTGCTCCCGTGAGGTAACATCGCCACACCTTGAGCGCGTGCACGATCGCCAGCATCTCGCGGCCGTGTATTGGGTAGTTGCGTTCGGGCGGGTGAAGCTTGCGGGACTCGTACGCGATTGGCTGGAGGCCATTCCCGAAGTCCTGCAACAGTGTTGTTCCCACAGCGATGTCGCTAGCGTCGGTGACGAGCTCGAACGGACGGTGCGGATCTGCGATGTGAATTACGGGCGGCGAGCAAAAAATTGTTTGAGGGCCAAGAAGGCAACTTGCTCTTTCTCCCCCCACGTGTACTCAACCCCCTTCCTCAGCAGGTCGGTCAACGGGGCAGTCAACTTCGCCATGTAGGGGACGAACCGGCGCACGTAGTTGACGAAACCCAAAAAGCTCTGTAACTCAGTCAAGTTTGTCGGCGCGTGCCACGCTCGGATCGTCGCAATCTTCTTCGGGTCTATTTCTACTCCTGTAGCTGAAATAATGTGTTCCAAAAACTTTAGTCTGTCCAGTAAAAACTCACACTTAAAAGCTTTGGTCAATAGGCGATTTTCACTTAGTATTTTAAAAATTGCTTCGATGTCCTGTAAGTGCTCTGCTTTGTCTGGGCTGTAAATCAGTATGTCGTCGAGGTAGACAGTGACGCGCTTATCTTAAAGCGGGCGGAATGCCTCGTTCATCGTCATTTGGAAAGTGGTGGGAGCATTGGTCAGTCCGAAGGGCATGACTGTATATTTGAAGGATCCGTAGCGTGTTCGGAAGGCTGTTTTCGGGCAGTCGGGTGGGTTGACTCGGATCTGGTGGTAGCCCCCTCGAAGGTCGATTTTTGAGAAAACCTGGGCTGTTTGCAGTTGGTCGATCAATTTGTCGGCTTGCGGGATTGGGTAATGGGATTTGATGGTAACCCTGTTCAGTGCCATGTAGTCGATGCACATGCAAAAGCTGTCAGAATATTATCTTATGTTCTAGCCTGTAGTGGGGTGCTCTATAGCGAGTACAACCCTTATAGGGTTTGCTATTTGTATCCCCATTTCTGCTAGTTCAACCCTCTTTCTTCCTTCTAATTTTGTCATGCTATCATAGCAGGTCGATCCCCTTGGATCGATCCTGTGGGTGGGCTTACCACCTCCTAGCTTCCGCTGCTACCACTACTACTACTATCAACTACTCTCTGAGCCGCACGCCCCGTGGCGTGCGGCATTTTTCTTCCCGCCGTGCGCCCCGAGGCGCGCGGCGGTTTTCTGCCCGCCGTGCGCCCCGAGGCGCGCGGCGGTTCTCTGCCCGCTGTGCGCCCCGAGGCGCGCGGCGGGCTTCGGCCCCGTCGACCGGCGCGCCGCCCTTGGGAGGCGCCGCGAAGGGCGACGGGGACCCGGTCGTCACCCCCCCGTCGCCCGTCGTGGCCTACGCGCGGCCCGTCCAGGCAGCGCGCGGCCCGTCCAGGCAGCGCGCGGCCCGTACGGGCTGCGCCAGGCCCGCGCGCGGCCCGTATGTGCGGCGCCAGGCCCGCGCGCGGCTCAGGCCGCCTCCCTACCTGCGGCCCGTCGCCCCGCCGTCCCGCCTCCCTACCTGGCCGCGGCCCCGTTGTCCCGCCGCCCTACCTGCGGCCCGTCGCCCTACCTGCGGCCCCGGCCCCGGCCCCGTCTCCCTACCTGCGACCCTACCAGGCCCGTGGTGGGCCCCTTCCTCCACACCGCCTCCCCCCCCCCCCCCCCCCCCCTTTTCCCGTCGCCCGTCGCGGCTCCTTCGGGGGCCGGCGAGCTGTGGGGTGGCGCGTATGGGGGTGGTACTTCTCATTCCTCCCTTTGCTCCTTCTCCTCCTTCGTCTCCCACTGCTGCAGCTGTCGCTGAGGAGGGTGGATGTGTGGGAGACTGGGGTTTAGGGTTTAAGAGGGGTGCGTGGGAGTGGAGCTAGCGGTGTAGCAGCGGGTGTGTGTTGGAGGGGTGGGACTGTTTGGGGAAGTTGCACGGAGGTTGCCGTCGTGTCGCCAGCAGCACCTGTAGTCCGGGGACTTCGTCCGGTAGCCCAGTCGTAGCCAGCTGTGCCAGCCGCCCGTGGGTCCGTTGCCCGTCTGCCGCTACTTTAGCCGCGGGGCCTGTTACTCCTGTAGTCCGGGCGCTTAGTCCGGTAGCCGCTGTGCCAGTCTGCCTCCTGTTGCCCGTGTGTCTGCAGCTTCAGCCGTCGCCTCCTATCTCCTCTCCCCTCACTCTCTCTCCTCCTCCTCACTTGCCCGTTGTGACTACCACTAGCTTTGCTCATAATTGTGAACTCTAAACTATTGCTTCTTGAACTTGTGCTCAGAATGTGTGGTGACATTGCGATCCACCCTGAGCTTGTACTGCTTTGCCTGCTCTGCTAATTACACCCCACTTTGGCTATGGGGGTGTGTCAGAATGTTATCTTATGTTCTAGCCTGTAGTGGGGTGCTCTATAGCGAGTACAACCCTTCTAGGGTTTGCTATTTGTATCCCCATTTGTGCAAGTTCAACCCTCTTTCTTCCTTCTAATTTTGTCAAAAGCCCCGTCTTTTTTCAGTGTGAACAGTATCGGTGCTGCGAAAGGTGACGAACTCGGGCGAATGAACTCTTTCTCGAGCAGGTAATCCAGCTCCATCCTTTGTTCGTCCAGTTCGGGTTGGGTCACTCGGAACTGTCGCTGTACTATCGG